AAGATACTCTATATGACTTTGCAAAAATGTGCCCTTTTATGTGAATGATGTGTGCTCCTTTGCCTCATGATTTTCTTTTTAGCAATGGAACCTTTGCACTATAAAGTGGCCTGTGCCTTTTATTACAATAATCAAGAGATGTTACAATTTGGAATTGATGTGCGATTACAACAATCATGATCTATGCTGGACCTCAGACTTATTGTGATTTTGTTCTGGCATCTGGCTGGACCCTTGAAATCTTGAATGAATACGATTACTAATAGCTGTGCAAACTGCAATCAAAGTCTTTCCGGTTTGGCAATTGTCCAAATAACAGACTTTTAGCTTTCACATGACTTAATTTTATATTCAGCATGACACAGTTTTAAGTGATAAGTTGTTTTCTTATCAATTGTGATATGATTGGAAATTCGGAATAGTAGATGTGAAAAAGATAGTGGGGTTTTATTGTACATTGATAAAGTGGAGTACTAGGAGATAGTAAGGTTCATTTAACTGAATAGGGTTGTGGTACCTTAACATTTTCCTAGTGGAAAGGGAGATGTATCGATTAGTGGGGCCTTTTCTAATATGTAAGTGTAAAATTTAACGTGGGACAAAGTAAAAAGGTAAGTGTAAATTCTTATCTAGGGTAAGAGGTGAAGAAAATTCATCATGGATATGTGTCAAATTTACAAGCATGCTAATTCTATGGAATAGAATATATCTGTCCAAGTATTTCTGTCAATGGTATCTTTTTTTGGTGACTGTAATTACTCACTTAAGTCAAATCTATGAGCTGACGTGCTACACTGACCTTTCTACTTTTCTTTCTCTAACTCCACTAATATCACCAGTTTGCACTGATGTTTGTTTTCCTTTTCACTGTTTTAATAGGAATGTATCAAATTCGAGAAGCTAATCAAATGGTCGAGGAGTTTATGCTTGCTGCCAATGTTTCAGTTGCAGAAAAAGTGTTGAAACATTTTCCATTTTGTTCATTATTAAGGTACAGTTATGCCGTAGGAACTGCCTATTTAGTTAGAGTGATAAAGGTTGGTGCCAATGTTTCAGAAGTGCTTAAGCAATAAAGTTACCGTATACAATTCTTTTTTTGTCATAATAATGAAATTGAGTCCCAAGAGACTTCAGCTGCATCTGGATTTGAAAGCTACTTTTTTGTTCAATAAGGCCAGTGATTGGTGAAAATACTTTGATATATATCAATTTTTGATGTCACTGATATTCTAGATTTATTTTCTTCTGAAATATGCTTGTAGGCGTCACCCTACTCCAACAAAAGAGATGCTTGAACCTCTTCTACGCACTGCTGCTGCTGTTGGCCTTGATCTGGATGTATCATCATCAAAGGCACTTGCCGATTCATTAGACCGGGCTGTGGTAAGTTACTTTTAGTTGCTTTTCTGAGTTTTCTCTTCCTTCTTCCCTTTACCCCAGACCCTAGTGGCCAAAACACAAAAAATAACTAATGGATAAGAAAGGAGGTGCATCTTACTGTGGTTTCAAAAAAAAAAAAAAGGTGCATGTTACTGACAAGCTTTATTAATGGTTAAATAACTTCAAACAATATGTTTTACTTCTGCATGTCCAATGCATATACGATATACCTTCCAAATCAAGCAAGGAGGAAAAGAGTTTGTTGCTGACCATCATAGTTTTTATTTTCTAGGGTAATGATCCTTATTTCAACAAGCTGATTAGGATTCTGGCAACAAGATGCATGTCGCAGGTGAGTACATGGTATTGTGGATATAATATCATGCAATGGAGGTTTGATGTCTAACTTGCAAGGTGGTGGCTTTTTTTCTTCTCCAATATACGATTTTAGGCAGTATATTTCTGCAGTGGAGATCTCAGCCCTCCAGAGTATCTTCATTATGGTCTTGCTGCACCTTTGTACACTCATTTTACATCTCCTATCCGAAGATATGCAGGTTGGTACATAATTTGAGCCTCTCATAGTTAGTGTACTTAATTAACAGCGTCATATTAGTCGATGCTACTTGTTATTTACAAATTCCCGTATTTTTTGTTATTGCAGATGTAGTAGTACACAGGCTGCTAGCTGCATCCATAGGGATATCCAAGCTTCCAGAAATTTTCCAGGATAGGCCTCAACTTACAAGTATTGCTGACAGTAAGTATACATTGATATCTATGCTTGATTGTGGAGGGTAATATTGTCCAATGCAGATCAAAGTCTTTCTATTGGAGTTAGATGTCTAGGACATAGATGGAGTTGTAAACTGAGAGAAACATATAATCCTACCAAGGGACAAATAATATGAAACTTGTGATGTTAAACTTTGAAATTTATGTGAAATATCCAGTCCTTGATCACTAATTTTTGTTTTTGCTATAGCTTTGGATTTGAGTATATAAATCGTTGTTGTGTGTTAGTGCTTGTTGCATTAGGAATGGTTGAGCTATTGCTTAGTGCTGTTATGTCATTTCCAGCTTATTTCTACCAGATTGCTATTATTGTTTATCTCATCAGTGCTGTGTGATTCTCCATTTGACTATATGAGCTTTTTGCCACTGTTCTTCTGTACTTTTTTGGAAAAAGATTATTGGCCACTTCTTGAGGTGCCAAATAAAATGGATTGGGGGAGTAATTCTTACCTGTTTTTCATTTATTGTCTTTCTTCCGAAATTCCTAAGCTCGTCTTTGATTTGAATATATTCCTAAACTCCAAGAACAGGCTTTGTACAACAAAACTAATTAAGATTTGTTTCTCTCTGCAAGACTCCAAGAATAGGCTCCTTATTATCGTTGAATATATTTGCCACTAAGGCCTGTCTAGTTAGTTACATGCTTGTGCTCATTAGTGTCGTTACTAAATGTCATACCATCTCAATTGCCTTCAGATTTGAACTACCGACATAGAAATGCCCAAATGGCTGGTCGGGCTTCAGTGGAGCTTCATACATTAATATACTTCAGGAAACGGTACATGTCTTCTTCAATCTTCCCTCTGCACCATCTGGGTATATGTTACAGATGTGTATTGATACATTTTAACTCTTTTACTCTTTGCAGGCCTACAGATACAGAGGCCAGAATAGTGAAGATAAGATCCAATGGATTTATTGTATTTGTGCCCAAGTATGTTTTCTACTCTCCTTATTTTGGCTTCTGGTAATGCTTTCTTACATTTTTTTGTTGAATTAGTTGCTTGGAGATCTACTAGACACCAGATCCCTCTACACTTTCTTTGATAAGAAGATCGTATCTTTCTGTCTTAATGATGTCACGATTCATGTTCAAATACAGTGCAGTGGTTCTAGTAACTTACAGATGCTATTTTAGTCATGCAATTTAGACTATTAATATTGATAGTACCCTGGAAAAAATGGGCTAATGATACTGGGCCAAGCCGAGGCAAGGTATGGCTGCTGTATTTCTAGGCTTTGGATCGGTCTTGGTCCACATTTTCATTGGATAAGTACTGCTTGGCTCAAAATGATGGCAAGACAAAGCACACAAAATAACTGAAATTTATCCTAGGACCTAGGCATTATGCGGCCTGACATGAATTGCGATGGGTACATAGAACTAGGTTGTTCTTGGGCCACTCTTTGGAAACCCCAGGCAAGTGCGACACAGCCAGGTGCCATCTTTCCTACAGAATTTGCAAGCTTATTAGTGCCATATTACACCATTTGATCTGAAGCTCTGTGGATGATGATCTTGACATATGTTATGGGCCTATGGCAATGTCTGAAGCTAATTGACCTTTTTCCTCATCCTATTTAGGATAAAATGAAATTCTTTGACAGGTGTCTAGGGTAAGACATTTTTCCCTTGGGTGTGTCATTTGAAGCACCGGACCAGGCCACTAGTATATAGACGATGCCTGCTGGTAAATGGGATTGAGACTCTCACCTTGCGCATCTGTACATGAACATCAGGGAAGGGATGATCTGAGATGGACTTTTAGGTCCAACTCATCCAAGTCTCCTAAATGACGGGAAACAGCCTGCCAATATTACACGAGTTCTTAGTTAATATCTGACTTGTATCAAACTTTGTGCCTGTAAATATTAACAAGTGAGCATGCATTTTTCTTGTTATGTTGACTGGCTGTGAACACTTCATATATCTTCTACTTGCTCTCTCTACCCCCTGCGTTTTTACTCTGTATCCTCCACCCTTTATTCACCTTCTACCCTCTGGATGATGTCTGACATTCTGGTTCGTTCGTTATATTTATAGGTATGGTATTGAAGGACCTGTTTATTTAACTGCAAGAGGTGATAATGGGAGTGGAGAGTGGATGGTGGATGAGCAGCATCAGCAGGTGAAAAAGGCAGATGGTAGCCTTTGTTACAATGTTCTGCAAATGGTGCGAATTCATATGGAGGTTGTAGAACCCCAGCCTAACAGGCCTAAACTTGAACTGACTCTTACAGAATAAAACAGATATCTCAACTTTTTTGTTCGTTGGAATATATAAAAAGCAATTTGTACCATACTATCCTATTCTAGTTCTTCCCAATTTATTTTAAGTGTGTTTGGGAATTTTATTTTCATCCGTGCTGTTATTATTCATGGTATATGTCGTAAAAATGTCAGTACAAGCCTTGTATGACCAGCTATTGCTGGTATAATTCATTCCTTAGTAGTGCTTTCAGTACACTGGTACTTTATCATTGATACACAAAATCCCAATTGACATTTGGTTGGTAAATTTATATCTATAACTTGCATAATAGTTTGCATGTCACTGTGAAATTGAGGGAGCTACTCTAGTTGTTGATCACATTTTCAATGTTTCGAAACAATTCATCTATTGCTGAAAATGTTTCTCTTTTGGGATTTAGAAAGAGATCCATTCATATGAAACATAATGTGGTGTAAAGTCCAGAGTTCACGAAGTGATTATTGGATTGAGGTTGTCAGATTGTCCATGAAACCATGAGAAAAAATAGATTCCAGCACTGCATTATCTACATTTTAAATTTTTGACCACCTAATCAAAATATTAATATTGAAATTAAAAAACATAAAACAAATTAGATTATAAAAAATAAAATCTGGTTATAGATTCTATCTACTCGCATTTTTTTTTTCATTTGAAGAAAACACTATAATATTAAAGACAATGAAATAAAAAATATTGTCAGAAATTGCAAGGCAGAAGAAAGAAACAAAATTTTCCACCTTTACCAGTTAAAACTCATTAACCTCATTGTCGACCTCTTCCTCGGCCTCTTCCTCTACCCCCTCCTCTACCTCCTCCTCGGCCTCCTCTACCACCTCGGCTCCTCCTCTCATAATTTGTAGGCTTAAGACCTAACGACTGAACACCCCTCTTATTACGTCGTGGATCTTTATTATCTTCATCTTCCTGGTACTTTGCTTTACTTCTAGAAACAAAGGAAATCTCTCGTGACCCTCCTCGTCCTACTTTAACATCACCATGCAAACGAGATGCTCTATTGTCATCATGCAAAGCAGCCACTCTCTCTCCTAAAGGAAGAGCGTCTTCATTAGCAAGTGAGACACTTTCCAAGAACGCTTGTGCATGCCTTTCATCCTTCACTTCATAAAATCTGAAGAATATGATAAGAGGTTTAACAATTGTAAATAAATAAAAAATTGAAGTTATTTGCTTCTTAATTATCTTTTATCCAACTCACTGAAATAAACGAGAAAAGAAATTAGCTCACCTAGGAGTCCGCGATTTCTTATCCAGCCTGCTTTCATCATCAGAGGAAGCATCACCTTCACTCATCTCATCCTCCATGATAGGCTCAAAGTGCTCATCCAGCAAAGCCGTCTGCTTCTGGGGAGCTATAGGATGTAATGCCATATATTCCTGGGAATTCTCGTCAATCTCAAATTCCTGGGCAAAGAAAATAGAAAAGAAAGGTTGTTATGAGACGAAGTGAAGCAAATTATATTGTAGCCTTCTTTTAGGCAGTCCTTGAGGTAAAACTAGCCAGAGTTACTGAATGCCAAATGAAAATGCCACAGCAAATAAGCATGTACAAAAATTCAGTGATAATAAATATAGAATAATGTTAACGGCATAATTAAGCAATACCGGATTCTCAAACATCTCCGCAAATCTATCATCGTTCAGTATGTCAATGTTCAATCCCTTCTTTTTCTTAGAGGATTTCTTTTTATCAGCATCATTTTCAGCTGCTTCTTCATCCTGGAGAAGAGTATGTACGAGACGCTTATTAACCTTTGGCAGCTTCCTCTTAATCTGTGAAAGACAATAGCCACAAGAGAACAAATGATATCAAATAACTATAAGGCAATATTACATCAATTTAGCAATGAAATTAAAATTAGTTTTCTTCATTTGGAAAATGCATGGCCATGGTGATAATGTCATGACCCCAGTCCAGCCCGATAAAATAAATTGTACTCCCACATGCCCAATAATTATTTCATATAATAACTGACAAGTTCTCAGTTTTTAAAAAATTCAGAACAAAATGGAAATGATGTATCAATAGCATTTCATGTATCACATAACAGTTAAATAGAAGAAAAGCTGAAAAACACAAGATACCAGCCTCACAACTTGGCCTTGATGCTAAAAGTTTGTTACTTAACTGATGGGAATATATTAAAATAGAAGCCTTGTAATTTGAATGACAAAACTGACCGTTATACGTCCACGATGCATGGCCTCCAGCTTCTCCTTCTTACGCTTCTCGATGTAAGCATCATATGCAAATGGATCCGTTATAGACTTTGCCTGCAATTATCACCCAAAAAAATTTCAAACAGATGTCCATAAAACAAGGGGTATCCAAAATCTATTCCACAGCCAGCACGATCCAATATAATGCCAATGTCTATAATACGGTAAACAGGTTCAGGAATACACATTCATTATTTTTGTTAAAAAGTAGATATTATTTTGTAAATAGGGGAGAAAACAGCAGAAAATCAATGAAAGACAATAAGCTTGATTCCCCCAATTAGCAGCAGCATTAACAATACATGCAAAAGTACAACACAGGTGACAGCTTAGTTAATCAATCACCATACATTCCTCTTACTCTACAAAATTGTTGCACAAAATCTTGTCATGCTTAGACACATGACTATTCGCTTTCAAAAAAAAAAATAAAAAAAATTAATAAATAAAAAAGACACATGACTATCCACTTGGGCTACTGCAAAACTTGGCAGAAAACAGCTCCTCCCCCACCCCCTCCCCCCCCCCCAAAAAAAAAAAACAAATCTACAAGTGACCATGTGAACCACATATGTCCTTCTAAATATGGAAAGAAAAAAAAAGGTGATCAGATGATCGCTACAATGGTAACAGTTTCACAAAAGCTGCATCTTGCATGTAGGTTGGCATGCCTCGCAACATATTATACACATCAAGAGTTCCCAGTTTATCTTGGTAATTCAAGAGTTTTGAAAATATTATTTTAGAACAAAAAATTCATGCTCCTTGTGGAATTTATGATGTATGAAACAAGTATGTCACCTGATGTAAAAATATAATATGAATTACAACAAGGCTATGTGGCCTATGTCCTTTGCTTTTATCCCCCATGAAAAGAAATCCCACAAATTCTAATCAGGAACTCCAACAGATTTGCATACATCAAACAAGGCATTTTGAGTTCACATCAGACATGTAAGGCTTATGCATAATTATAAACAGGTAGAACCGTAGAGCCCAACAAAGCCAAAATCAGAATACAATGGCAACATATTAGACCATCTACCTTCTTATATAACCGATAATCAATGAAGTACCCATGCATATAAGCTCTGAGAAGGTTGGTTCCGATTAAATTGGTCAGGTTAAGTCTCTCAAGTTCTTCTTTAGTTAAGAACTTGTAATCATCGTATATACTTGTCTGAGCATTCTCTTCCAGCTCTTCCTGAAAAGACAAGGCAAAATGTGGTAAGATACTACAGCAGAGTATAAAAAACACCACAAGACAATTCAGATATATTCAATTAATTCAAATCTCACAAACAGAAATCATCGCACAGTATAAAAGAACTAGACCAAGTACTTACAGTCAAGTTTTCCAAATAAGAGCACCACTTGGGGGCAGGCCCAAGAGCAGGAATGTAGTAAGAGGGTATATGGGTTGAATCTAGAGCCAATAACATTAGCCCAGTTTCACGAATCACACATATATCATTAATTGCACCACCTGTTGGTTCGATACTGGTCATCCCTTCACCCTGCAATTAAAGAAACATCATTTTAAGAGCTATATACAGCTTAAGCAAAAGCTAGTACAACATTTGAGATACAATTGAAGGTCAAAGCTTCCATTTGTCAAGCAACAAGCTTAACTTCAGCTCTATAGTCAAGCTTAATTTTGAGGCTACCTATTCCAGCTAATCTCAGCTTGCTGACAGGCAGCTTGCCTTCTTCCAATTTAGAGCACGCAGAAGAATAAAGGGAGAAAAAAGACTCCCAATCTTCACAAAGATAACACGTATTAAGGTGAAAGAAGCTCACCGTCTCAGGATCCCAAATTCTGACGATATGATTATCTGTGCTAATTAACTTAGGATGTTCTGAATTTAAAGTCCGATGCCACTTGATATCCAAAATTGGGCTTCCATACCTATTAGACAGGATGACAAAACATCAGAAGGAATTTTCACCTTTCCCATTAAAAATCAATAAGCAACACCGTGAAAATTGCATGCTTACATGTGATCCTTAACTCGAATAGGATGGGAAGATCGTAAATCGTAGATCAGTACCTGTAGCACAGAATAACACATATTGATCATATTGTCAAACACTTACAACAAAACTCACACATATCTCAGAAAAACAACATATGTAATTCACTTTTGACTTGTTATGTAATTCACACAAATGTACTTAACAGTTTACACAGATGTATTCAAGATTTTAATGTAATTCACTTTTGACTTGTTATCAGAAATGACAATTTTTCAATATATATTACTAGATTTTAGGATGCTAACGAATTAAAGCTTGTTTTAAACGCAACCAAGATCATGTAGGAAGTAAATTAGGTGCTAAAATATTTACTCCAATGTGAATCTGGCTCTAGTTGAACAGATGCAACAAACCTGATGAAAAAGCCTATTGTCTAAGGCTTCTACCGCTAACCGTCCAAGAAATTTAAAGATAAAAACATCCACAATTACACGTTAACTTTCATACTGATCTCGCACGATGCAAATATCCCAGCTAACCATAACCAAACAAATCAGAAATTCTAATCTAAAGGTATGCTAAACGAATTGCTCAGGGGAACAAAATTATAAAGCTGCTAAGAAAATTCATAGCTTACCTTTCCCTCACTGCTTCCTACAGCCATTTGAAAGCCTCCTTCATCATCAAACTCAATAGCAGTTACCTGCAAGTGATGCAGCAAATAGGTTGGCGGATATTCCAAACAATTGAGGTCCTAATCTAGCCACCTTACTGATTGAGATAAGAAACTGATCAAAACTGAATTCCGTATACTTAATTGATTTACTAACTAAACCGATTTTTAATATATTCAATTTATTTATTAAAAATAGGAAAAAGATGAAGGAACACAACAATAAAACTACATAACACAACGAGAATAATAAATTCCACATAGTTCATCACTGACATGTCTACAGCGGAGGTTTACAAAAAACAAAATATGGAAAATTTTGACAGCCAAGTCCATTGTCGTAAGAGGAAGGTCCTTTTCATATACAGTTCAATTGTGAGCATTAAGCGCAGAAAATTAGATTTTGCTGCATGTACAAGCTAAAGGCATTCACATTACATCTACAAATTAATGAACGCCAAATAGTTTAGGTTGAATTAGGGATCAAATCTCGTCTACGACATTTGTACTTTGTTGCTCTATGTCCACCAAAAAAAAATTGCCAATAAAAAATGGTACCTGGCCATCGTCCTCAGCAGCAGCGACAGCATTAATTCTACCAACAGATGATCTTGCCCTCATATCAAAGCATTCAACAGCCCCATCCTCACCGCCACAAGCAACTAATCCATGAAGATTGCTGATCCAAATAAGAAAATTTACAGATCTTAGAACAAAGAATTATTTGAGCAAGATGAACCAAAGACTAATAAATTACGGATAGAATCATTACCTTCTAGATACTACATTTAATCCAGGAGATTGAGTAGTAAGAGGGGCAAGAAACCGACCCTATACGGAGGAATCACATGCAGTGTCAAAAATGTGGTTATCTGCTCAACAGATAGCAAACTAGCCCTGACATATGAAGCAATATAGAAATATATCTGAAGGAAAACTTTCTAAATTAGCAAACATCCATTTCCAGGTACAAAATTCCAAATCAATACCCCAGTTGCTAGTGCTCTAACCAGGATAACAAGTCCAGTACTACATCTGCTCATTTCAAAAACCAAAGAGAGGTATACTAGGATACGTAACATACAAAATTGAGATATAATCTCAGGAGAATAAAGAGCCGATTTTATCTTAATTGGACAAATAAGAGCAATTTCATTACCCAACAAAGAAAAATAAAATTTTACAGATTTGTTTTTAACAAAAGCATGGACAGTCATATCCTCTACATACAATAAACTTACTAAACACATAAAGATAGAGCCCAATGTAACTTGAGGGTTTTTGTAATAGATAACAAAGAAAAATATTAAGACCAAGAGGGCAACACCAATCCACATGAAGATTATTGCAGGAGATAAGTATACTGTATACAGAATGATAAAACAAAACTTGGTGATTATAAGAATGCCAAAGATTGCAAAAAGTCAATCTTCTTCAGGCTTATCTTCAGGCTTATCTACTAAATAATAAACTGGAAAAATGCAAGATCCGCCCAAGTTCCCTATAACTGCCAGAGTTGTTCAAAAGTATCCAAAATTCAAACTGATTCGGAATGGGTTCAAGATTTAAAGATATATTACTTCCTCCGTTTTTTTATTAGATGTATCACTTTCTAAAAATAGAAGTTTTAATTTAAATGCATCACTTTCTAAAAATAGAAGTTTTTCTCTATTTCTCTCTCTACTCCAAAAACTGCCTAGGAGTCCGCAATTATATAAGGGATGCATCTAAATAAAAATATAGGAAGTATTATAATACAATCAGAATGTAAACCCGTGTATTTGCTACAAAGATATAGAATTATAAAATGTTAAAATACGGAGTATTATTTTTATTATCTATTTTTTTTATTTACTCATATTTATTAGTGTTTTCTATTTTTGCAGTTTTTTTTCCCCTTCATAGAAAAAGGAAGTGTAAGACATACTCCCACATCTAGTATTCTACAAAAATAATAATTGATAACCAAACATTTCCTAACAATATGTACTTTGATAAGTAGGCATACTATATTGGAATGTGGGGAGTATATACATCAAATACAGGAATCCAGTATGCAAGTATATGAACTTTCTGGTATTGGATGTTAGTATTCATTCAACACAGTGATACAGGGAACGCGGGATGTTGAGGCGAATCGCGATCTGAGTCCTTCGTACCGAATCGCGGAACGAACGCGACCCAAATCGCTAGGGTTCGTGACTCAGTTCGTAGTCGAAGCGTTCCCTTTTTCTTCTTCAGCAAGGTCGAATTTCTGAGTCAATAGCGGCAAAAATTGAAGGTTTACAGTGTTTGATAATGGCGAGTTCGCGAGGTTGAAGATGATAAAGTGAAAAAGAAAAAGTTGAGGGGGCATTACGCATGAGACAAAACTTCTTTTTGAACTTCTTACTATATTGGGGCCCTCAATATAGGAAATAGGAATATATATTCATATAAAGTTATTATTTACACCTTTTTTTAGTTTACTGAGTTTTTACTATGTCATTTTTTTTGTGCTAAACTTTACTAATGTCATTAGTCTCTAAGTCTCCTACTCATTACACTAGCTTATTGGGAACTTGAAGTCTTTAAAAATGAAAAGGACAACTTGCAAGTGATTAATGTTTTAACTATTTTTTACGGGAAATATGAATGTTTTTTGGATGAAATGAAAATCAATGTTTTAATTTCAAATTAATTTTTAGTTTTTTTTTTTCAGATTATTATTTATAGATATATATATATTAAACTACACCCAACGTTCCCAATTCACTCAATGTAGCATTTCCCGTTTCCGTTTCCGTCCCGCATTTCGTATCGAATTTCGTTCCAACACTGCTTAAGAGCAAGATAGGTAGATCAGCTAGACAAGAAATGCTAACCTTTCTATACTAGATAGATTGTCTTTCTAAAGCATCATCAGCTTTCAAAATAATTTTATCATTCAGGGAATGTAATAGTCACTTGGTCATATACTCATATGTGCTCAAGCATTCTTCATCCACAAACTTAAGCAATACCCTAACTTCCTCTCTAAATGGTTTACATGAAGCTCTGAAGAGCGGCACACAAGCCCTGCCCCATAACAATTCCTAAGAAAATGACTTACTATAAAGCATAAATAAAGTGATATGGTCAGGTATTCATGTAATTATTATGAAAGAAGGAACCATGAACCAATCATTGAATTGTGGCCCTACCATACATTTATTTCATCTATTAATCTTTCATGTCTCTATTAAAGTCTAAACCATAAACCCAGTCTCTGAGAGAAACTTCGCAATCTATGGTCACCGGTTGTTTGGGTGATATTGATGGTAGGAAATGCAATCCATATAAGGGATTTTCCTCATTACAGATAATGGCAAATGCTAAAGTACATTTTAAACACCAATTACAGTAATAATTGACACTGAAATTACAATGAAGCAAAGGCAGCCTGTCAGCTACATATCAATAAAGGGTAATCAGGGCAAACCTGCGATAAATTTATTCTGTAAAGATCTGGTGAAGAGGCAGCACAGAGCAAATCGCAAGACCATGAATCGTATACCATATCCCTTCCCATCCTATTCATAAGACGCAATGAAGTTTAGCTATATCCAATAATAAACATATTAACATATGAAAATCAATAGAAACTCAGTGATCAAGTAACTGAAATTTGTTTTCACATGTGTAGTTAAAATGATAAAGAAAGAAAATGAGACATTCAGGTGATGTCCTCCATAGAACTTGAAATGGTGATCAAAAGAAGAAGGCTTAATTAATGTGAAAGTTCCTCCAACTTCTTTTCTCGGGAGAGAGCTAGCGGATGTGATGTCAATAAAAGGTCGAATAGCATTAACAGAATGCAAATCGGCAAAATCCCATATTATTGCAGCAACAGTTAAGTAATTAACAGAATGGAAACTCCAGCTGACTTTGCCCGTTAGAAGCCATAAGTTTAGCAATGTAATTGATATTTGATTATTTTTAATATTATTCCCTCACATTAAGACTTGTTTCTTTTCATGTACCATGCCAATAGTGCTGAAAATACCAAAATATGATTTTATGAACTCATTCAACAAAAAAAAATGCATGCAATTAGTAAGAGGTAGCTTACCTAGGAATCCTCACTTTATAATGACTTCCATATTTAGCATGTAGACAGATAGAGCGATCAGCACACATAAATGCAATCTTAGAGTAATCATCAGACAGCACCTGTTTCATTTCAGCCACGAATATCATCCCAAGTATGATTTATTACAACGATGTTCATATTCATATTCGATAAGCTAAATCAATATGCAAATGAAGCAACGGTAAAAGTACCTCGAAATCAACAATTTCAGAAACCAAATGTCTTTCAAACTTCAAGGAAAGTTCCCTTAACTCATACACCTTAACTTGTGGAGGGTAAATACCTATAATCGATTTTCAACAACAACAAAGCCTTAGTCCCGATATGATTTTGTGTCTGCTAACATTAATTAAATAGATCAACAACAACTAGTCCCAAAATAATTTTAATTAATTCGATCAACGACGAAAAATTCATTCCAGTATAGATGACCTACCTGAAGCAAGTAGAAATTCTCCATCAGGGGTGGCCTTGATTTTGGTGGTTGCGGTTTCAAAATTCAAGTCCTGAATCAACTCTACTCTTTGCGAATACTCTGAACAACAAATTTTGCAAATTTAATCAATACAACAAAAATATTCATCATCAAATCAAATGATAATAGCGTAAATTATGCAAATTTCAAAAAATTAAGATTGAAGAGGTACCTGTGTCTTTGCGAAGAGCACGCTGTTTCTTGGGGTTGAGCCAGGTTGCAAGAGAACGTTGATGGCCTGTTAAAGAATAGACTTTGACGCCATTAATGGAGGTTGATTTGAGTGTGCCTCCATGGTAAGCCATTTTATTGTTCTTCTTCTGGGAAACTTGTTTCAAGTAAAAGGGTTTAACTTGATTTTAATTTTAGGGTTTTGCAGAGAAGAGGAATACTGAATACTCAAGTTGGAGAAGAAAGGCGGGGTTTTTTCTTCTTGTTGCGAGTCGCAGAAGAGTTGTGCACGGGCCGGACGAGCCCGTGTGAAATGCTAGCGGTTTTTTTTTTTTTTTGGGGGGGGGGGAGACAAGTTGTGCACTTGTGTTTAGTAAATAGGTGATCAACATGGCCCGGTCGATCCAGCCTAAAGTCCTATAAATGGGACGGATTTGGGCAAGCATTAAAATCGTTTTTAAGTTTGAAAAGAGCCCGAACTCAGATTGAAAGCCCGCTTTAACCCAATAAGTCTGTTATTTTTACGAGTTTGGGCAAGAGTTATGATGTTAAGGCCAGGGTCGACTCGATTTTTCTATTACCTCTACAGCTCTACTTGTGCTTAAATTGAATCAAAAAAAAATTACACCCGGATGAGGTTGAGGTTTCGGGAGCGTTCACCGAATCCAGTCGTCCCCTTACCGATGTCATGGTTGTGTTGATCTTTTAAACATAGTTCATGCACGGCTTGATATATTGACTCATGTATTACTACATAATAGCGTATACTTTTTAAGTTTGATTTTGATATGTTAGGTAAATTAATATAAAAAACAAGGCGATAATTCACTATGTTCACATCATGTCAAATTTTTAAATTGATGATTGTGAATGATCCGTGGTTGACCTTTGCATGTCCTTTGTTTCGTGTTGGGCTCGATGGGCGGGTAGCGAATTAGGACATTTTTGTCTACATGTCGGCTCGTGCTCAATTATAATCACAAATGCATCCCTTATCTACGTTGAAAGTGTTCTTATTTTAATTTTTTTGTGAGACAATCATCTTTGAAAGTGTTCTTATGTTAACTTTTTTGTGAGACAATCACCCTTCAAATACGTAAATCTTTATCTTTTAGAAGTAATAGAGAATAGAAAACTTATAAATTGACGTAGTGCTAGACATAACTCAAATAATGAAATAAATCATAATCGTTGGGTAGACATTTTACGAATCAAACCAAATTGTATTACTCCACATAGGGGTGTACAAAAATTGGCCCGGACCTGAAACCGGACCTGAACCGGACCGGACCTGACCCGGACCTGTTGATTCAGGTCCGGTCCCGGTTCTTAAAAATCCAGGTTCCCAGTCCCGGTCCGGACCCGGTCCAAACCCGGGGTTTTCAGGTCCGGACCTGAAACCCGGGAAAATCGTAATTAAAAAATTAAAAAAAAAAAGAAGAAGAAAACCAAACTCTGAAAAATTGAAACTGAGTTTTCGTGGACTTATTTGTATTTTCGGTGGACTCATTTGTATTTTTGGTGTTTGAGAATCGGGACTTTATAGACTTTATGTAGTTTTGTAATTGATAATTTTGGTTTGTATGTAATTATTAAATTATGCAACAGGTCTAAAAATCACAAAACAGGTCCATATGCAGGTCCATATGCAGGTCCAACAGGTTTTGTATTAAAAAAAAACGAAAAAGACACAAAACAGGTCCATTCAGGTCCAAACCCGGACCGGACATGATTTTTCAGGTCTGGCCCGGAACCGGACCTGTTAATTCAGGTACGGTCCCCGGTCCTCATAATTACCCAATTCAGGTCCCCGGTCCAAACAGGTCCGGTCCAGGTCCGATCCGGTTTTGGACCGGTGTACACCCCTAACTCCACATAGTAACCAAACTGTATAACATATTAACATGAGATAATTCGCCTATGTTTTGACTTAATCTTAATCCAAAAAAAAAAGTTTTCGCCTAGAACCCTTGTCGAGTTGTCGTCAATCGTCATCTAATAGCATGGACCAAAAGTCGGGCCTTTAATCCTCTCCAAATAAACCCTAGCTAAACCCCTAATTTTATTTTATCCACCATTTCTTAATTTCCGCCCTCATTTCTCCATAAACCCTAAACTTTGTTAAAATTTGTTAAATTTCTTTCTTTTGGGTTTCCTTGATTCTGCACACTTGCTGTTGATTACGGTATACCTTTCTCTCTCTCATACTTTTATTACTGAAATTGAACTCTTTTGTTCAAAAATTTGTTTTCTCTGCATTTTTCAAAAAAATTTATTTGGGTACTATTATTGCTTAATTAGCACTGTATAATCTGATTATTTTTCTAGATTTCTCCCCTTCTTAATTACCCTTTTCCCAATTGTACCCATTTTTGAAAAGTTCAGATTTTTGTAGTTTAAAGTTGTTAGAATTATATAAGCTTGAAATTTAGAGGAATTGGTTTATGTAGAAAATGCCGAGGCCATTGGGAGTAAAAGCTGGTAAGAAAAGGAAGAAGAGAGAGGAGAAGTATGATAAGGAAGAGGAGGAGCAAGTAGAAATGGTACAAGAGGATGTACCAGATGCTGCCACTATTGATGAAGCAGCTGAAGATGATAAGGTAGCGGAAGATTTGGCCGATGATATCCCCGGCATTCCGGTTACTATCACCGAGCAGAAGAGCCAGCCCGGGGCGGTTTTCGTGCTCGAAAGGGCTTCCCTTGAGGTTGCCAAAGTAGGGAAGGTATATCAATCAACAATCTTTAAGTTTTATTGTTTTCCATTATGTTTATTTGTTTGTGTTGTGTGTTGCTTGGATTAAATTGGATGTGTTGCAAAGATTAATTAGAGGATTGGCCTAGATAACTGTGTTGATGGTGTTTGGGAGGGGTATTAATAGATGAACAGGAATTTCGCTGCTGTTGTTAACTGAATTCTGATGTCACATTCATATGTAATTGCAGACCTACCAAATTTTGAATTCTGAGGACCATGCCAATTTTTTGATGAAGCACAAAAAGAATCCTGCAGATTACAGGCCAGACATTGTTCATCAGGTTTATAATACAACTTTTTATCTTATGATACACTTCATTCTATTTATTATTTTTGTGCTTCTGTTGACATTTTCAGAAGCTCGCAAAGATGTATTCCATTATTGTTTTGTGTATTTGGCTGTTTTTCTGAAGTATGCCATTGTTGTGATTATGAATATTGATATTTCAGGCTCTTCTGATGATTTTGGATAGCCCCTTGAATAAGGCTGGGAGGATTCGATCTGTGTATGTAAAAACTGAGAAAGGTGTTCTTTTTGAGGTTAAACCTCATGTTCGTATTCCAAGAACATATAAGCGTTTTGCTGGCATCATGTGTGAGTTGAAATTATTTTGTCTTGCACCTTCCTTCTGTCAAGTTCAATGCATCAATGTAATAATGAGTTGCTACTGAGGGCTTGACGTGTGGTTGTCATATTCATTAATGCCCTCTCTCATTGATCATTGCAGTGCAATTGTTACAGAAGCTGAGCATATCTGCTGCTGGCAAGCGGGATAAACTTTTTCGTGTGGTTAAAAATCCTGTCACTCAGTATCTACCTCTTAATTCTCGTAAGATAGGTGAGCTTAGACTAAACTAGTGATCCTGTCTGATTAGTGTACAGCGTTCAGATCACGTCCATCTATATCCCTCTTCACAGTCAGTGACATTTGGCTATTCATGTGACAGGCTTTTCATTCAGTTCAGAAAAATTAGTTGACATTCAGAAATATGTGGATGCTGTTAAGGACGATTCCAATTTTGTCTTTGTGGTATGCATCTGAAATGACTGAACTTTCTGCATTATTCCATGGATATTACTCATATGAGTCAAAACTTGGGTGTCTTTTAATTGTTTGCTTGTTCAGGTTGGTGCTATGGCTCATGGAAAGGTTGATGATGAGATTGTTGAAGATTATATATCAAGTAAGTTATTGAAAACTAACTTGCATCGGTGCCCATCATGCTAACCTATTTTTCCTCTCTTGTAAATTGTGCGTGCTTTTCAATTTACTTTGACAATTTGCTATACAATTTGTTGCACTCTAAAATTGTCACTTGATGTTATTGACTATTTATTTCTTAATTTTGCAGTCTCAGGATATCCATTGAGTGCCGCATGGTGTATAGCAAGAATTTGCCAAGGCTTGCAACATAAATGGAGTGTCTTGTGAATTCCTGCTGGGTTAGTCTTTAGCTAATAGCTACTGGTAGTCTGAAATATAGCTCACAATGAACCTTTTCTTGATGAAGTGAATATGCTTGAGCATAAATCATAAGATTTGCAATTTGTATCATTATTCTTCTTATTCCTTAATACTTTCTGGTGTAAGCAGATACTCAGTGGTATCTCCACTACTGAGTTCCTAGTGGCATATTATCAGGCTGTTAGCCATATTTTTGTATGGCAACATGGTGCATCCTATTTAACTGCAGTCCATTTTGTGAGTAACTGAGTTTGATATCGCACTACAAATGTACTATGACAACAGGGTGCATCCAATTATCGCTGCACTCCTAGCGAATATGTCATAATGCACGGGTCCACGGGATACATCTCAAATAACTCCACAAATAAAGAGTATTCTAGCAGTAGTAGTGAATGTAATGGGGAAACTATTTTTAATTGGTTTTGGGAGGGTAAATGATTATTTGTTAAAAAAAATTAATAATAATAATCAAGAGTGCATAGTTTTACAAACTGAGTGTTTGGAGAGTTGTGTTTAAAGATTTTAAACCAAGTTAACCAACTCTCCTTGTGTATCACATCATTATGACCCAAATTTGGCCCTTCAATTTTATGAAATAGGAGTATTATTTATGTCAATGATACATGACATCGATAAATCAGCCCTTCCCCTTGACACCCCAACAAAAGAGAAGGCTACAAGATAAGATATAGGTGAGAGTGTTAGAGAAGATAAACTTGTTCTTCGATACACTATATCGCCACTGGGGTTCTGTATCAAAGCTCTTGCACCAGCTCTAGAGTTGAAAGTTAGCCCAATATAGAGTTACATATACACCTATTCGAATTCCTTGTCACTTTGAAAATTCTAGTCGCTGATAACTAGAAATATGACTATCTGTGACAAATGTTTTCAGGGTAAATGTCTATTTCTGAGTGTTTGGTGAATCATAATAATGTGACTACCCTTATAATTCTTTGTTCAAGATAGGATCCACATAAATATTGTGGACCAGAAAGTAAGTGCAAGTGCTGCAAAAAGATATGTCCAAAGAAATATCACTGCACACTCTTCTTGTCCCACATCAAATAACTGTGCCATGGTACCTGCAACCCCCATCCAAAAACTTGGTTAATCAAAATACAAAGAGGAAAATTTAGTTGAACTCTAATCGTTTACAGTATGAAGCAAGATTGTAAGTCTCAAGTATTGATGACTGACCGATGCTCATGGCCGGAGGCATTGTGAATTGAAGCATCAACACGAAGCTATATAAAGGGTCTGGTGGAAGGAAGCCGAAACAATCAGCAGCTTTTACCACTCCAATTCCAATCACTGGAAGCAGCAAGTATTTGACAAATAAGATTCCCATGATCACAGAGGGCTTCACTTTTGATGATCGTAATCCTGTTCAAGCCAAGTAATTATTCATAGATCGTAATCCTGTTAAAACCCACTCCGTAGTATTTACTCAAATCACTAGTTTACCTTGAATTAGGTTTCCACCTAGTACAAGGGTGGTACAAGGTATTGTTCCATCCCTGCAAGAAAGTTCATAAGGTATATCATAGCTTAGTTCTTTCTGTAGTATTTACCTTGAATTAGTTTTTGATGAATTAAACTTATTTGTACTGAAATTAAATGTTATGAACTGAACAAAACTGAGCCTTCAACAAGAGGTCCAAGACTAACCCAAGCAATTTGAGACAATCTTGGATCACTCGAAGTGGAGCACCATCTCCTATGACAAGGTCCCTAAACCAAGTTACAGCTCCAAAGGTGAGTCCAATAACCTGAAACAAAATTATAAAACTGCATAAGCTAGTTGAAGACCACACAAAAAGCCACCCACCTTGCCTCACTGCAGGGTTTTCTGGACTTAGGATGCAGAATTGAGTGCGGCGAATCTGTTATACTGAGTAATTAGTATTTATATCCTAGCTAGTATTGCAATGGTAGGCATGCACCAGTTGCCACTGTTTGGAACTGGCCTCGATCACTGACTAAAGACGAGCACCCATCCTAGGACTTTTGTCACCAAAATATAGCTTAATGGTGAAAGTTCAAAGTTCACAGGATCCAAAAGACGGTACCCCCAAATCATTCAGTAGCGCCATCTCAATCAGTTTAAACTATGATGAAAATACTACAATGTATTTGAACTTGAACCTACATAGTCTGTAAAAGTTACTCTTTATAGCTAATTGCGAGAAAGAGAGACTCACTGCACCAATAGTAGGAGGTGCCATTATTTCCTGTAAAATCTGATGTAGAAATTCTACTATCTTCTGCAAATGGAGCTCACTTTCCTTTTTGGGAGATGCCTACAAAATTTATGAAGGCCAAATAAAATGACGATACTATTCTTATTTTTCTTTAGACATACTATACAAGTAATCAATTATACAGAAGAAAATAACTTACAGGATGGATGTGTGCATCATACCCTTCGTTCTTTCCATTAAGAAGTTGAGTTTTTACATCGGCTTCTATGTCCTTGTTTGGATCCCTTGCAGCCTCCTCAACTGCGGCTATTAGTGCCTTAAACTTTATGGATGAACTCTTTACCAAGTGGAAAGTGTATGTCCATATGTAAAATCCCCCTAACTGCAATAACAATGGGGTGATGCAGTGCGAAAGCATGCTTATGCAGTTAAGCCTTTGATGCTAGCAAATTTGTCAAAAATCTTATCTAAAGATGCTCAATATGTTCTACTGAAAACCAGTAGAGGGGTTATCTAGGCATACCGCCATGGAGAAAGAGGCATAAGAAAGGCCGATTGAAGAACAAGCAGCATGGTCATCGCCAAATGGACTGCCATCCTCATGGCAGATTGCTGGGAGTACAATCAGAACAAGGGTTCCCAAGTTTGCTGGGTTATCAAAGACCAGAAAAGAATTGTCAGAAAATTTGACAATTTATTGCTGAATTACCAAGTCTTATAAAAACCTTAGAAACTGGGTTTAGTTTACCTGCTGAGCAAGAAGCAATAATTAAGCCTTCAAGGTGTAACCCAGGTTTCAGAATTTTTACTGCAATCCATCCAAATATTCCTCCAATTAAAAACGTTAGCCCCACATTAACAGGCATAAACCACCTGTAGTTTGAGTCATACCATAAATATAGATGTAATTATAAACAACAAATGTACAGTTAGCGCAAGCTTGCTGGTTGTTAGATGTCTAACAGTTAGCCAAATGATAAGCTATTCGCGTACATCCATACATCAACATGGATGTGAAAGAACAGTACAGTAGCAAAGCAAAGAAAAAAACTAGAGGAGCAGAAAGTCTTAGAGATCTAGTAAGAATAGAAATCGAAGATAGCGATGAGCCGATGAGCGAACCATGAAATGATGTCTTGCAACGTTACAGTCTTGGCAAGACTTGCAAACATGAGTGCAGGAGTGAAAACCACGTACACAATCTGCATTTCAACATTTGTTTTGTTATTTCATTTTTTGTACATATTTCTCCAAGTTTAAGCTACAAAGTACCTAAAATGTATGTATATATGTACGTAATGTAAATTATACCCGTCTTCTAAATTCCTTTGATAGAACAATTTAGTTACTGGAAAGAATTCCGATCCATTATTTATGTATGAAAAACAAGTAAATATGTACGAGTACACAAAATAGTCGCGGTACTCACCTTATTCAAGGACCTCCTAGCATCTGCATTCAAAAGATTGCAGTACCCTGTTGCCAAAAATGCTCCTAATCCACTGATTATTAGGACTTGCAAAATAGGCATTGATGACACTTCAAAGAGTGACAAGAAACCCATCTTCTTCTAACTCCTTCCCTTTACTTGTATTTTCTTCTCTTTTTCTTTTCTAAGTTCTCAAAAACTTTCAACTTTCTCTATGTTAATTTGTAGAATGAATGAATTGAAGTTTGCAAGAAGTTCAGTAATAATCTTATTCGATCAAATACAAAGAGATTCAAATACAGACTGACAGTCTATAGTCTCACAAATAATACTCCTTAGTTGCAAATAATAGGAAACGGAGGTAGTATATATATACTCGTTGAATACACTCAACAAGGTCTCCTCTCAAGGAAAAATAAAATAATTAGGCAATTGGAATCCCATCTTAGTCCCAAAGCCAATAATTCGATCTACCAATCTACCATAGTGGAGAACACATGTTTTAGACAAAAAATAAAGAGTGTGTGATCCAATTTGCTACATATCACATATTCAGACAAATTCTACATGTGTACTATTGATCTATTATGCTTTAATTATACATTTCTTTGACTGAAATAAGAAGATCTAATAAGAGGATGATCATATATTACTCCACTAGTCCATTTCAAAATAGTATATTCAATTCGATCTAGTTAGATTTGTCTTGATGCGTTGTTTTAAAATAGTATTTTACTGTTAGCTTTAATTTTAAAGTAAACAATTAAGTGAGTATATTGTTGTTCAATTGATTATGGTAGAGTTTATGATATTTGTTAAAAAAAAATCTCAATAATGCATGTATAGTTTTAATGATGGGGTGTATGGAGAGAATATTTTTTAACCATTTCCTAGTATATAACATAAATATGACCCAAATGTGGCCTTCAATTTAAACATGAAGTATAATCTATGTCAATGATATATGACTTCATAAATCAACCCTTCCCCTCTAAAAGAGAAGGCTACAAAGAATGATACAAGTGTGATTACAGAGAATCACATATGACTTGACAAAATTGTTCTTCATTACATATATAGCCACCGCGTTTTTGTATCAGAAGCTTGCACTGGCACTAGAGTCGATACTTATCCTGATATTAAACCGCGATGTAGAGTAATATGCATCATTTCAAATTACTTGTCACTTTGAAAATTCCAGTTGCTGATAACTTGACTGCATGGACCATCTGGGACAAGTTTCTGTTTTTTAAGGACAAATGTATAATTCTGTGTGAATGATGAATCATAATATTATGCTTGCTTGCCCTTATAATGCTTTGTTTAGGATAGGATCCACATAAATACTGTGGACCAGAGAGTAAGAGCAAGTGCTGCAAAAAGATATGTCCAAAGAAATATCACTGAGCACTCTTCTTGTCCCACATCATATAATTGTGCCATAGTACCTGCAACAACCAACCAAAACAACAAGGAAAAGTTAGTTGAACTCTGAACTAGACTTACTATACAGCAAGATGTTAAAGCTTGGGAGTTAATTGGTGACTAACCGATGCTCATGGCCGGAGGCAATGTGAACTGAAGCATCAACACAAAGCGATATAAAGGGTCTGATGGGAGGAAGCCAAAAGTATCAGCAGCTTTTACTACTCCAATTCCAATCACAGGAAGCAGCAAGTATTTGACAAATAAGATCCCAATAATCACAGTTGGCTTTACTTTTGATGATCTTAATCCTGTTCAAAACAATTAGTCAGATATTGTAATCCTGTTTAATTGGACTGTTAACTCAAATGATCTGATGTTAATTTACCTTGTATAAGGTTTCCACCTAGTATAAGGGTGATAGAAGGTATTGTTCCATCTCTGCAAGAAAATTTATAAGGTATGTTATGGTTTAGTAGATGTTATTTTGTATACAGGCTTTGTAAAATTGAACTCGTTTTTTTCTGAACTGCACTTGTTTTTGATGAACAAAACTTATATAGTTATATTTGCTGAAACTGAATTTAATAAGCTGAAAAAAACAGAGTTGAAAATTTCACCAAGACATACCCAAGCAATTTGAGAGAATCTTGTATCACTCGAAGTGGAGCTCCATCTCCTATGACGAGGCCCCTTAACCAAGTAGTAGCTCCAAAAATGAGTCCAATAATCTAAATCAAAAGCATAAAACTGCATAAGTTCATAGCATATAGGATCGAAAAGAAGGTAGTATTAAACATTTGGTAGTAGCATTTCAAGCAGATTAAGCTCGCTTTACCAATGATGCAAGGTGCTACATACAATGCTATTTCACCATACAAAGTCTGTAAAAGTTTATGTTTATAGAGAGAACGAGAGACTCACTGCACCAAGGCTAGGAGGTGCCATTAGTTCCTCTAATATTAGGTGTAGAAACTCGATTATCTTTCTCCAAAGGGGCTCGCTTTCCTTCTTAGGTGATACCTGATACATTTATACAGGTCAGGTAAGTGACAGTACTATTGTTATATTCTGTAAACATACTATACAGAAGAAAATAACTTACAGGATGGCTTCCTGCATCATACCCTTGACTTTCTCCACTAAGAAGATGGGCCTTTACATCAGCTTCTAAGTCGTCGTTTGGATCCCTTGCAGCCTCTTCCGCGGCTATTAGTGCCTTAAACTTAATGGATGAACTCTTTACCAAGTGAAAAGTGTATGTCCATATGTAAAACCCCCCTAGCTGCAATAACAACAGCATGCTAGGTGTTTCAGTGCAAAAGCATGCTTAAGCCTATTATGCAAGCAAATTTGTCAAAATTCTTATCTAAAGACTCTCAGCAATATCTGTTACTAAAAACCAGAGGAAGAGCTATTTTGGCATACCGCCATTGAGAAAGAGGCGTAAGAAAGGCCAATTGAAGAACAAGCAGCATGGTCGTCACCAAATGGACTGCCATCCTCATTGCAGATTGCAGGAAGTACGATCAGAACAAGGTTTCCCAAGTTTGCTGGGATATCAAAGATGAGAAAAATAATTTTTAGCAACTCCCACATTTATTGCGAAACTAGTCAAATAAAAAACTTTGAAACTGAAATTCGTTACCTGCTGAGCAAGAAGCAATGATTAAACCTTCAAGATGTAACCCAGGTTTCAGAATCTTAACTGTAATCCATCCAAGGATTCCTCCGATTAAAAACGTTAGCCCTACATTAACAGGCATAAACCACCTGCAGTTTGACATATACCATATATTAAGATGTAATTATAGCACGAGTTTAATTTCCTGGTTGTTAGATGTCTAACAGTTAGTCAAATGATAAGCTATTCGTGTATATCCATTACACATCAACATGGATGTGAAATAACAGTACATCAGTGGCAAAACGAAGAAAAACAACAACTACAGAAGAGCAGAAAGTCTAAACAGAACAAGAAAGAATCGAAATTAAAGATAGCTAACCATGATATGATGTCTTGCAACGTTACAGTCTTAGCAAGACTTGCAAACATGAGTGCAGGAGTGAAAACCACGTACACGATCTACATTTCAACATTTGTTTTGTTATTTCATTTTTTGCACATATTCCTCCAAAATTAAAGTACACTAAAATGTATCTATATATCAATATGTATTTATGCAATGTATGCTACACCCACCTTCTAAATTCCTTTGATAGGTTGACAATTTAGTTACTGGAAAGAATTCCGATCCATTATGAAAAACAATTAGATATGTACGAGTACATAAGATATAGTCGCGGGACTAACCTTATTCAAGGACCTTCTAGCATCTGCATTCAAAAGATTACAATAGCCAGTTGCCAAAAATGCTCCTAATCCACTGATTATTAGCACTTGCAAAATGGGCATTGATGCCACTTCAAAGAGTGACAAGAAACCCATCTTTATTTCTTCTTCTTCCTTTCTAAGTTCTCCTCAAAAGCTTCCAACTTCCTCTATATAGAAGCAATAAATTTTCTGCAAAAAAGTTCAATGATGATCTTATTCAATATTTTTAAATTTGGGCTAAATACTTTCTTAAATATGAAGTTTTTTTTTTTTTTTTTTTTTTGGGTCACAAAAACAAAGAAACGAAAATAAATGATGTGATTGAGCTTACAAATTGGTGCAAAGTGCAAGAAATTTCCTTGAAATCGACATCAACAGTTCATTCTCCAATTCATAATCATAAATTTAGCAATAAGCAAAACATTTTTTTATACGTATTTCTTTTGTTTTTTTTTTGTTGGTTCATGAGAAATTGCAAAAACAACAAATAAAAACGTGTTATAATAGGACTCTAGGAGTAATACTATACCTAGAGATTTTTTTAAACATACAATTAGGAGACCCAAAGATGATGAAAAAGTATACTCGTTATAATGAAGCAATTGGAATCGATTCATATCCAAAAGCCAAAATCGGTCTATAAATAATAAGAGAGCATATCTTATAGAGTTATAGATAAAAAGTAAAGTACACGAGATCTAGAATTGGATATACATCACATATTCAAATAAATCCCTGATGTATACTTGTACAATATATTGATTTATCGTACCATTATACAAATCCTAACTTGTTATACCAAATGGCACGTTTCAAGTTTTAATTGGTCTAAAAATTACTTAAAAAAATTAAAATATAAAATAATGAAAACGTGGGAGCCACCAGCTCCAAACACCGCTGGTTGCCAACCCCCTTCCCTTCCCTACCGAAAAAATCCTTATGCACCCCAAACCACCCCTCCCTTCCTTTACCTCGAAAACCGGCTGATGACCTTTCTCCAACCCTAGAAACCGCCCCCTCTCTTCCCTAACCCTCGAAACAATAATGACTATTTAATATACACTTTTGATAATTACGGAGTAGAATAACAATAGTGACATAGGGATGGGAGTAATCAATAACAAAATTCCGTCCTTGTGATAAGTTTGATGACGACTAACCAACAAATATTAGACAGGAATAATAACACTTAGCCCCAATATTAATTACGTTCATTCACATTGTTAATTAAGCTCGTTCGTCCAGTGTAATTACAGCTCATGATTACTACATTAAACGAGTTGCATACTTTTTAAGTAGTTGGCCAACCAATAATCAAATAAAGTTGGATCCAACATTGAATATTGGTCAATAATCATGAAAAGAACAAGATCTATCTACGTCTACAATATTGGCGGCCATGATCTGATTGCACAACTCCAATAATTTAATCCTATCCAATTAATTGACTTTCGTTTTCTTTAGCGTACCCTTAAAATAAATGTCAGATTCTTTAGTAGTGACTGATGATATATACCTGCCTGGCTGCCCACGTCCCCATATTCCTCTACAGTTTTCCAGAACATAGCTTGTTGGACCAAGGATGTGGACTTGACCTATTTTGTAAGGTATAGTCTAATCCGGAGTGTGTATGATAGGTCGCAATTTTAAACCATCTAACCCTATTCTAATCTGTATTTTACACTACAATTACAATGTGCTTATGGCTCATTAGCGCAAAATAGCTTTAAATAATACGAGTAATTGATTGTCCTTTACCCCCAAGCCAAAATCATCGGGTCATAATATGTGAGTTATATTAAATGATACTCGTATAAGGAGTACTCCATTTTTAATACTCCGTATAACAAAATGACCTTTGATTTTTTTTTTTTTCCAAATAATAATAAATAACTTTGGTTTTTTATAAAATGACCTTTTTGCCCCTACATTTCACAAGTCACCATTTCCCACTTGTCTTTTAATTTATGTACTTTTTTTTTTCTTACAATAAATACCATCAATAGGGCCCCTACTTTTTTCTTCTAAATTATTGCACTAAAAATGTGCAACTAAGGTAATGTATCATATGTATGCCCAAAAGACTTTCACTTTGAAAAAAGTTGGTCAACAACTTGGCACAACTTGGCAAATAGAGCTATCGTTGCAAGCTTAGCTAATCCGTACACCTTGAAAGTGAGGAATAACTCAAGTGAATAGAGTTGTCTCCCTAATTTTAGGAGATTTTGGGATTGATTCTCTCCCTTGCCCTTGTGGCTCTCTAAACTACAAATAAAACATACTTCGTACTCCTTAACTCAAGATTTTACAAATTTAACATATATATTCCGAGTCTTCCCAAGATTTTATTTGATTATCGATAGCACTAATATTGACCATTGCAATTATTCTATTACTTCGTATGTTCCTATTCTATTACCTGGATGTACGATACACCCGAATGTATATAATAAATTCTATATAGTATATTTTTTCTGCCGATGCATTCATAAAACAAGGAATTACTCTAACCACACAATGAGAGAGTTTCCTAATATTTCATTTTCTTATCTTAACACAAAATACCCCGTTACGATTTGATTTTATTTTTTTGGGGAGAGGCTACAAGGGTTGTTGGAGGAAGTACTCCATATTATTTTTTAGGATAAAGATGACGCTACGTCGTGAAAAGTTGAAATTCATACATATCCAAAAATAAAGATTTATTCCACGTAAGCCCACTAAAAAAATAGCATGATAAGCATGTTTATATAGAAAACATGATGGCATTGAGTAATTTTTGTACCTGATTGAAAGTTTTCTCCATGGATTTTTGTTGTTGTTGTTGTTCAAACGAAAAAAGATGCTTAGGCAAATTCTTATGGTTTCATAATCACATAATTAATTAATACTTATATATAACCCTTACTCATAATAACAATTATTAATTAGTGTGACTAATATATGGTACTCTCTTGTCTGAATATATTATTTCATACAGTACATCTCAATTTATTACGGAGTAAGAATTTAACTTTGATAATTACTCCGTACAGCTTATAATTAAGAACAATTATTGGGATCTTAAAATTTCTATTGCCCACTTTCTAATATTTATATCACTTAATTATGTACTCCGTACTACGTAATATACTCTAAATACACATATTTAAATTTATTGGACGAAATCGTTGTAAAATCAGCATGTACAACAACAAGGGTCAACGAAGTATTAATTAAAAGTAATTCATCAAAATGACAATTGTCTTAAACATTGTATTAGCTATTTAGCTATGCTAAGTTCTGTTTAATTACTCCGTAAGATAATTTTATTTGCTCAATTAAGATGTTACGGAGTAAGAAAAAAAAAAAAAGACCCTTAAGGACACTTATATTATTTTTTTTCAAATTTCGAGCTCAATACAAACCCTTAAAGATCGAATATTATATGACACGCAAGTCGATAAAAAAGTTGAATTTAGTTATAATTTATAATTTAGAAGAATTTTTAGGCTGCAATTTGCAATTTTTTTTTTAAATGGTTGTAATAGACAAATTTTCCAAATAAAATAATTGTTACTTTTAAAGTTAAAATCTCATACAGAGTATTTGTAATCATATAAATTCATCTATATATCGCGTTATGAATAAAAGCCATTAATTTACAGCAAGCAATTTACAGAATCTAATCATTTTTAGCATTATTTAGTTTGCTGGTTTTATAATCTCATCATAGAAAAACGCAAGAAAAAAGGAAAACGTAACCAAAAAAAATGCTTGATGCATGAAATCATAAACGCCTGAATAATTAACAAGCAAAAACTGATAATCAAGCAGAAATAATTTGATTAAGAAGGAAAAAACGAACCTGTAAACACGAATCTGCACAAAAAAGAATTGAAATTGGCCTTCAAAATTTCATGTCATTGCCTCATTGGAATTTATGATATGAAGAAGAAGTAGAAGAAGATAAATAAGAAGCTTTTATATATATAGTCGTATAATATACGAATTATGATATTGGGTGTTATAAATTATGAATTATAGTATTTATTTGGAGGTGAAGAAAACAAAAATTGAGAGAGAAAGCTAAAGACCGTGGAAATAAAAATGCAAAGACACGTATATATTCCAAAAAATTGGGGTTCATTATTATTAATATTACCTTTTTAGCCAGGCTTTGCAAATCTTTTGTACAATTATCATTAATTTATTTTGTATCTCTCTAGTTGTCCCTAGTTGGAGTTCAAATTGAACCAAACTTAAATCTTTATTTATTTATTTATTAGTTTTATTTATTACGAAACCTTCTCCCATTTTTCCCGTTTATTAGGCTTTTGACTTTCACAAAATTTCATATGTAGCTAGTCATAATGTATAGCTAAAGTTACTTGATTAGGGGTTAATTGGTTGATCAGGTTTAGGGGTTATTCATGTGTCGACTGGCCACATAGAAAATACGCGGGATTTGTTTTTATTCTTTAATAGTTTCTTACGTAAATATCCTTACTATATTGTTTTTTTTTTATACTTGGATAGTTGTATTACTAAATAATGAGTCATACTTTGTACATATCCTCTTTGGTTTAAATTGATAACATAGATCGTCCGGAAACTAATATAATGAGATTATGAGAATGTGAGATAGTATTGGATCGTAGTTGTCTTTATCCTTGTAATATAACCTTCTCTAGTAAAACATGGGATAAATTACATATTGATTTCACTCATCTTTTAACATGGGATAAACTTGAGCTATCCCTCACTCTCATCGGTTTATATTATATAACATAATGTTATACATTATCATCTACACTAGGTACAATAATTACCAAATTAAGCTTGGTTTAATAGCTAGGGTTGAGGCGTCTCAGAGTCTAGGAGCGATTTTAAAAATAAAAAAAAAAAAAAAAATAAAAAAAAAAACTAGGTATAGAAAATGGTAAAATAAAGATATTTCATTGTAAATCATTATCATGCACGTTGAGTGAGTGTACGCGCAGCAGCAAGCCATCACGCAAGAAGCATTCAGGGAAGGTTGTATCTATGAACTGATTGAGCAAAACCATTCATTTATTTTTTTAGGGAAAGGCCCATATTTCATCATCACAAATTTTGTAAAAACTGTTGAATAATGCAACATTAAAATTAATTTTAGATGATGTCACTGCTTTAATCACAATCATATTAAGATAAACGAATATCATATCATAAAATTATAAAACGAAATTGACAATATGAACCGCTCAACCTATGACAAATCTAAACATAGGCAACCAGCAGACATCAGACTGATTTGGTATACGCGGAGACTCTGAGAGTTCATTTCACCGCTTCAACGTCGCCACGCATTTGTACCCTTATTATGTTTCGTACTTTCCAATCTATAAATTAAATTAATTTTGTACAGATTAGACACATTATTATAGAATACCTAATACACTAATACGTCTGTTTTAAAAAAGTTGTATGCAATTAAAGATGGTCTATCTCATTCCGATTCCCGCCTTTTGTTTAATATGAGGTCAAATTTTAAGTAATAAGATCAGATTAAAGTAGATTAAAATTTATAAAAAAAAAAAAATTATATAAAATCGGGTAAGTAAAAATAAGTTGAATTAAACTTAGCTTTAATTTGTAGCGTTAAAAAAAATAAAAAAAAACGAAAGTAGATTAACTTGGTAATTAAGTTGAATACCTTAAATCAAGGGAGTATGTAGGTCCTAGTTCAATTCACACCAACTCTCTTAAAGAATTTTCCTCATCAATCAAACATTAAAAATACTACTGCAACTTTATTCAAATTAATTGTCCCCAACCCCCAAGTCCTAATCACTTAATCAGCTAAGAGCCTAAGATCCAACTGTAATAATATAATAATATGATTATGGGATATATATATATATATATATATATATATATATATATATATATATATATATATATATATATATATATATATATATATATGAGGCATTAAGCATCAAGATTCATGCTGACTGTGCATGCATGTGGCAAGCAACTTGCTTAACTTGAACATGCAAGATTTGATAGAGATCGAGTCACAAGAGATTTTTAAGATCCGATTCATAGCATACATGTTATGAATATCACCAACTCATCAATACCTCACTGACAAATTAAAGATAAAGACCTAATTTAGATAGAACGTCTCCAATTATTCTCAAAGACCTAATTTTGATCAACTTAACTAACTTTATGCATACATGATTATACTTTGTACTTCATATATTTTATTTTATACTTGGAATTAGCTACTCCGCACCAAACAAAGTCGGCGTCCGATATACAAGTAAAAAAAATGACAAACTTTTAATAAAAGCGGGTTTTCACTAACTTACTGAAAATCACAGCAAACAAGTGCAAATTGGGCTGCTCAACTTGGGCTCACACGTGTAAATTTAAAGAACCAAAAAATTTCTTATTTTCTCTTTCTTCTTCTCTTTCCTGTTTCTCTTTCTCTGGTTTTTTTTTCTCTCTCCTCTCGTTCTCTTCTTCTCTTGCTTTTGGCGTTGCTACTTGAATTTCTCTCTTTTCGATCTTTACTTTCTTCACTTTGAAGTTGATTGTTGCAAATTTCAGGTTTGTTTTCTCAATTTTATTTCATTTTATTCAATTTTGAAGTGTTTCGATTTTTAGGGTTTCGTTGTTTTGGATTTTTGTAGTTTTTGCAATGGTGAAGAAGAAGGTTTCTGGTGAAGATAATGTTGCTCTAGGTTAGTGTTTGTTCTCATTTTCGCAATTTTTTTTTTTGTACAATTTGTGCTATGTTTGTTTAGTTGTGCGTTTTAATCAGTTGCTTTTGCTTAGGTTAGGTTTATTTTGAGAATTGCCTGCTAGGTGTTTGTAAAAATGTCCAAATGAAAAATTGCATGTTCATAGTAGTACAATCAAATTGATGAAAGTATTTTGTGTATGAATTTTAGGTATTTTTCTACTATTTTCGTTTACAGTTTAATATATATAAATTAAATGCTGCATTTGATTTTAGTGTGGCAAACATGGTGGATATGTTTATCTTTTTGTGTTGCTTGGTACAATCTTGTCAAATTTTGTCAAAATTTCTATTGTGATGTTTTTTTTTTTTAAAATTAATTGGTAGGATCTATCAAAGGTTTTCGTTATAGTAGAGCTCAAAAAGCGGTAAATAAAATGGATGCAGGAAGAAAAAAGATGTTGAAAGGTGAAGGAAGTACATCCAAGGGAAATAAAAGGAAGAGGCAAGAAAAAGAGGATGACGAGTAAGATTTTATGTTTTAGAATATTGTATATTTGCTATACTTTTGTGAATGGAATTGTGACTTTTGTAACAGTATAGGTAACTTTGATTAATAGGACTGTTTTTATGTGATTTTTGTGTCAATATATTAAGTGTTACTTTTGTGAGTATATCTTTCACTTTTGTATTTATCAATGTCACTTTTGTGAGTGCAAGTATCATTTTGTGAAAATTTTGATAGTAATCACTTTTTTGAATATTATATCCATGTAATGAGTGTCATGACTCTCATGAGTATCATTTTTTGTGATTATGATTGTCACTTTTGTGATAATAAGTATAAAAATTTGTATAAATGTTCACAATTCATGTTTAATTTTATATGATAACTAAAATTTCAGTATATAAGTATGTTATTACCATTTTTGAATGGTAAGCATCTTTTTTTTGTTTTTTTAGGCCTAATAGGAAAATTACATGTCGTTGTAGACCTTCTTCATTAGTTAAGGTTATAAGTGGGCTTTCTCTGACTCAAAAAAAAGATGTAGAAGAGGTTGGATTTGGTGGTTTGTTGTCTTTACGTGTGGAGAGTATGGTTGGAGGTATACTTCCTTGGCTTGTTGAGAGTTTTAATGGATATACTTGTATGTTTTGTGTAGCTGATGGTAAGGAGTTTGTTGTGACTAAGCATGATGTGTGTGATGTTTTTGGTTTGCCTAAGGTAGAAGGTCGTGAGGTTCCTGAAATGAAGGGTAGTTACAAAGGTAAATCTCAAGATGATAGTGCATTGAAAAATAAATGGAGAGCTTCTTTTGATGTTGGTGTTAAGGAGTTGATACCTTTGGCTAGATTAGAAACTAGGATCAAGGAGTTGGTGGATGGAGGTGATGAATTTAAGAGGTTATTTGTTATGCATGCTCTTAGTAGTATGCTTGTTCCTACCGCTAATAGGACTGTTAATTTTAGGTTAGTTAATGCTGTGGATGATGTTGATCAGATTAAAAATCTTGATTGGTGTTCATTTGTTTTGAGAAAGTTGATGAATTCTGTTGTTAGTTACAAAAATTCTGAGGCTAAAGATAGTATTAGTGGATGTTTGTTGTTGCTTAAGATTATGTATTTTCATCGTTTGAATTTCCAAGGTGTAGTAGAGAACTCCACTATTCCTCTTATCCAACACTGGACAGATAAAAAAGTGAGGAACAGGGTGTCCTTGGAGTTGAAGGCTGGTGGATTTGGTCAGGGGGTTTTGAATGAATTGACTTATCCAGTTTCTGCTAAGTGTGTTGATTTGAATGTTAACAACTTAAGTAAGGGTGAAAGTTGTGTGGTTCCTATTGATGATGATAGAAGATGTGTGACTTTCGATTTGCCTGAAGGAGTATTAACTGATTCTGAGATCAAAAGTGCTTCAGCTGATGTATGTTTTTTTTTTCTTTAATAAAACATTTGTTCTTGGTCTCATATAATTGTTTGTTAATGTGTAGGATTTGCATGAGGCGTTTCTTTATATGAAAAGGAACATGGAGTTGTTTTCTTCTGTGAATTCCAATTGTTTTAGTTCTTTGCAACGGTTGGTGCATAGTCGTTTTGTTGAACATTCCGTTTCTTTGGATGCTGATTCTATTGAGTTGTCTCAAATACAACAACTTTTGTCTAACCCGCATTATCATAAGCTTATTGATGGCTTAATTGATGAGTTTATAAAAATGAAGTCAGTGGATGAGTTACTTAAAGTTGATGCAAGTACTTCATCAAAGTCTACCCTACAAGATGGTGGAGGTGGTGGAGATGGTGGTGGCAGAGGTGGTTCAGTCAGAAGAACGAATAAAAGTTTGTGTTCTTTGGACTGTGGTGAAATTGGTGGTCAGAGTGTAGTGTTTGTTACGCCATTTATGAAAAGTAATTCTCGTGCTTTTAGTGAAAAATTACCTCGATTATATTTAGAAGCTCTTGATTATTGTCTGGTGGAACACTTATTTAATAATAAGTAAGTTCTTTTTTAATTGTCATATTTTTTGAAACCTTTTTTTTTTCTTTTTCTTTTTGTTTTGATATTAATAATATTGTTTGACCTTGCAGTGAGAATCTTGTTACTTATGGATTGCATTTTCTCATTCCAAGAGAGGATATGGTGTCTTTGGTGCATACTAATTTGGTTCGTTGGTCAGTAGTTGATTGCTACTGCATTTATCTAAATGAATCATGTTTTTATGATACTTGTGGTCCTAAAAGATTCTTTTTTGGTGCGAGGCAAAGTGTAAGAAACTTTCTGTTTTGAGTTATTTGTTTTCTTACTCTTTTCAATTATTTATTTTTTCCTTTTAGTTTGCTTTTTTGCAAGTATCAGAGGGGAACGAAGATAGTTCTGCTAGTTCTGCTGTCTCGAATTTGCATGAAATTTGGGATGAATGGGTTACATATGAAAATTCTTGTTGTGATGTTATTGGTGCAGACTTGGTATATATCTTAATTTTTAATATATATTAACTGTGTGATGGATGTGCTTTATGCTAACTTTTGTTCTATTTTTTTTCAGGTTTATTTTCCTATTCTTGTTGATGAACATTATGTATTTTTGTGATTGATCATGGCAATGAATTGGTTCATTACGTTGATAATATCATTTGGAGTCATGACATGATTACATATTTTCAAAATTTGACTTTTTATCTGGTATGTTATTGTCTATTTTAAAGTATGTTTCTATATTAATCTTATTTTCTTGTTGTTTTTAATATTCTGTTTTTTTTTTTCAGTGTTCTGAATTTGGTGATTTTCTTGCACGAAGAAATCATCCAAAGAGTGAAAAAGTCCCTTTTTACAATTTAAAATTGCTGATTTAGTGTGGCGGAAGAGTAAGGTTGATAATAATGACTGTGGTGTGTATATGATGTGTCATATGGAGCATTTTGTTGGTGATACATCGTATTCTGTAGATGAACTTAGAACAGTGAGTGATCTTGAAACTGATCCGAATTAATTCATTTGTTATGTTTATTCTAATGTTTTATACATATTAAGGCGCCTTTTATTTTCTTGTTGTGAGGCTGCTGGAAGGAAATTTTTACGTGCTAAGATTTGAGTATGTCTGACATGAACGAATCAAGATCTGATGTCTTAGCAGAAGTTGAAAAATTTAATGAGAAGAAGAGCGATCTTGCATATGTTGCTGAAATTGAAGGAAGGAGGAAGGCTGCAGCAGCGGAGAAGAAAAAGAAGAAATCTGAAACTGCTCCTCCTACTGTTGACAGTGCTCCGAAATCAAAACGAACTACAAAGGCTACACGGAAGTACACTCCTTCTAAATCTTAGCTAATTTTGGAAGTTGTTATTAGTTAAGTACTTTTGGAAGTTGTAATTAGTTAAGTACTTTTGGAAGTTGAAACTAGTGATAAATATCGACACTTATACTAGTGTTAATATTTTCAAAATGTTTGTACAAATTTTATTTTATATATATATATGATTAAATATTGGTAATCTGTTGTTCTTATTTTTATTTATTTATTTATATATAATTTTATAAGTGTATCATATATCATCATACAGAGATATAGTTGATTTAAATGAAAACTTGAAGTTTAACATATATATTACCATTTTATTAATTTTAAAAACGGACACTTTTGTGATAATTATTGTCACTTTTGTGATTATAAATATCACTTTTGTGAGTGACATATTTCTTTTGTGAATATGCAATACTTTTGTGAGTAAAAAGTAACACTTTTGTGAGAAGATGCATCACTTTTGTGAGCATTACTGTTATTTTTGCGAGTATTAGTGTTACTTTTCTGTAAATGCATCACTTTTGTAAGTGTTAGTGTCACTTTTGTTAGTAAATTCATCACTTTTGCCAGTATATGCATCACTTTTGCCAGTATATGCATTACTTTTTTAAGTATCAGTGTAATATTATATAAATGTTCATAATTCATGAGCAATTCCATATCACAATTCAAAATTCTGTATGAAAGTCAATAGTAGCATTAAACAAAAATAAAATCACTACAAAAAAGTATTCAATTGTGTTTCATCCAAACTCACTACAAGTTCAAAAAAGTCGCACAGTAGGTGTCTTCGATCCAAACTCTGAATTTGGATCTGGTAATGCTTTTTGCTTTGATTTCTTCCCTTTTTCAAGTGCTCCTTTTGCTCTCTTGCTTCTTCCCTTTGTTACAACTCTCTTAGGGTCTAATATAGTGGGTATGGTTGTACTTGTTGATGAAGAAGCAGTATTATTGGTACTCTGAGAACTCTCTGCCACATTAGAATTGTCATCACTTGCAGCAACCTCCTCTGTAAAAGCTTCGGCCGCAAGTAAGTCTTCCACCATTTTCATACAGTTTTTGAACTTTTCCTCCATGAATGCTCTTGCCTTTTCATTTTCTTGACTCTTTAAGATTAAGTTATAATATTTTCTCATCATTGTATGTCTCCATGGTGTATATGGGAGTTTTGGATCCTTATTTTCCATTCTATTCCATACTTCAGTTTTTGCAAGCTTTGTCCATCTTTTGCTAATGTACTTCTCTGGAATTCTTGTAATAGAATGTAGATGTAAAATTCTGAGGCAGTGATAGCATAGCCAACCAGAAGCTTCGAAATTCTTGCAAGTGCACCATATAGTTTGGCTCTCATGTATGTAACTTACCTGTTGGGAAGACCATGGCTTTTCTTCTAGCGATACTTCATAAAGAATAATGTTTTCTTCAGTTCTCCCTAGAATTTGCACTGTGGTCGCCATTGAGTAGCCAAATTCCTCTTCAAAGTCTCTAAATAGAGACAATGTGTAAACCTGTACATTAGAGAAATAACTTACTACCAGTCATGTTCCTTTGCATGTATCATTTTTATATTTGCTTATATTGTTTGTTTTCAGTTCTTAGATATATGTAATAAAGGAATATAGAATTACCTGAGCAGCATGCTTTAGCATTCCGGATAGTGGCAATGAAGTAAAGGCTATTGATTTGCTACAGGTAAACTCATTATACTTCTCATCACTTCTCCATCTTTTTATGGTTCTTACAAAGATTCTATAGAATTCTGTCAGTGTTGTTGATTTATTAGCTCTGAATCCTACTGCATGGTTCGTACTTTCACTTCTTTGTGATGAAAGAATTCCTGCCGAGAAGAAATCTTTACTAAATGCTGGACACCACTTTTCCTTTAGATTGTACACCCTTTGGTACCATGCATGATTAACCAAATCAAATTTTTGTATCATTTCTTTCCATCTTTCTTCAAATTCTGTTTCTGTCACACATCCCTTCAAGCATTTGTTGAATATTTTTTTGAACTCATTATCCCTTTTAAGGGCTCCAAATCGTGTTATTGCATTTTGTTCTAAGTGCCATATGCATAGCCTATGCCTTGTGTCTGGCAATACCTGCATTCAGAATGTGATATGTCACTAAACTTGAACACTTATTCTCATAACAGTGATATTTTTACTCACAAAAGTAACATTTATACTCACAAAAGTGATACTTATATTCATAAAAGTTATGAACACAAAAATGACTTAATATGAGAGTGGAATCAGTGAATATGATATTGTAATAGAAAAAGAAGTACCTGCTCAATTGCAGTAGCCATAGCTTGGTCTTGGTCAGTGAATATGGAGGTTGGAATTCTATTCTCCATAGATTTTTTAAAGGTTTCAAGCAACCACACAAACGAATCTGTTTTTTCATTGCCTATGAAAGCACATGCAAACATACAATTTTTCCAATGGTTATCTATTCCAACAAAAGGAGCACATATAAGGTTATACCGATTTGTTCTGTATGTTGTATCAAATACAAGAACATCTCCGTATATTTTGTAATCCTCTAAAATCATTGCATCTCTCCAAAAAATGTTGGAAATTCTACCTTCTTTGTCGAATTTCACTCTAAAATAGAAGTTAGGATCTTCTTTTTGTTCTTCGATCAGAATATTCACTAATGTCTGAGCATCTCCAGCCTCTATTTGTTCCATTCTTAGTCTTGAGCAGAAATTGAGGTGATCTACAACACTATGCCCCAAGTTTTCATCTCCATTAGCTTCTGTACACATGTAATTATATGTGTCCATTGTTGAAAGTCCAGCAGATTTCATTGTTTTAATTGCTACTGCCTTTTCTATTTTTACTTCACTCTTAGATCGATGCAAATAATGCCACTGCTTTCTAGTTAGTTCATGATTATGCTGTAACACATGTGACACCACGTTAAATTTTCCATCATCATTCATTTTTGCTCTTAGGCTTTCCTTGCAGTTAGTTCTTGTAATGGAGACTTGTCGTGGTTTTCTTTGTTTTAAATCCTTGTTATCTTCATCAACCATTAGAACCATATTTGTCTTCTTTGCAGCAATATGTCTTTTTCCTTCCGCATAACACACATAGTACTTCTCTGTGACTATACGTGTGTGTAAGCGATACCTTGTTGTATGCTTTCTTATTGAAAATCCCACTGTAGAAGCATGTAGACTGTACAAGTCATAAATTTCTTGATAAGTGTCTCTTTCCACTCCAACTAATGATCCTTCCATATCTAAACCAGTGGTATCTATTGGTTTTGGATTTGTATCTGTGCATTAGTAGAATAAGAGATATTTAGCATTTTCTTGTAACAATTGTAACCAAAATCACAATTACAGCATGAACAAAATCACAAGCAAGTACCTAGAGGCATGAGAACATGGGAGCATAGGGTTATTCACTTAAGCATATGCATAAAGAATAAGTTATTTAGTACAGAGGTATATAATACAAGTAACTTCTGTATTAATAAAGGTAACATTTGTAATGATATTAGTAACTTTTGTACCAAGAGACATGCATAAATGCTTTTATAAATAAACATATAGTCAGTGTAACTTTTGCCATAATATATGTAACTTTTGCCTTAATATATGTCACATTTATAGAATTTTACCTTCGTCTTCATCTACTGGTTGTCCTTCTTCATCTAGTGTGTTCGGAATAACTTGATCTTCATCTTCTAAAGTATTTTAAACACCTTGATTTTCAATATCTGCATTAATTATTGAAAATTAAATCAAAATTTTAAGCAAAAACAAACAATAGGTTAGTATTTTTGTAGATTATTACCTTGTATTTGAATTTCTGGAACTTTTGAGTTTTGAATGTTATCATCATTAAATTCATCTAAATCATCAACGAAATTCTCTGCTTCACCTTCTCTGAATGTTTGATTGAGGTCGAAACTCCATGTTTTCTCTGGATGTTGCGTTAATGGTGGTCGATTATCTCTTTGTAATTGCAGAAATTCGCGCATTAGGTTTTCGTAATTGGAAGCTTTGGAGGTTTCCGGCATTGTTGATCGAAAATTGTAGATTTCTCTCTCGTCCATGGTTGCTTGGTGAAGGAGCTTTGAATCTGGAAAATTGGAGTTTTCTCTCTCCTCCATTGTAGCTTGCTGAAGAAGATGTTAGTTATTTTGGAAAAAGGAAAAAAAAAAATTACTGTTCACACGTGCGAAAAACCGGTTGTTCAGTATTTTACTGCACACTGGTTGTATGTAAAACTTTTTGAAAAAAAATTTAGTACATGTGGGCTGGAATTGAGCCAGCTTAATTCCTGGTAATAACCCAACCCATGCATTAAAAGCCCATCCCACCCATCTTATCACAATTCACCTCCTCAATCTCCTCAAGAGTCAAGATTATTGTTATAAGTTACTCCATATTTTACAACTTGTTTCAAAACACAT